GCTGCACAGCTCCCACCCAAAATATTATTATCCACCTATAAAATTTGCTATTATTCATACAACGCCAGTGCTGCTGAAGGCGGACAGCGAGCAAGCACAAGGTCTGCGTAGAACTGCGGTTGGTCTCCTCTGGTCCCGATATATATAAATTTTTACTTCTTTTTGCAACAACTGCACAGCTTTACATTCCCGTCTACCGCCGCATTATTATGCATTCAATGCGAAACCCGAAGGAAGGGAGCCTGATTCTCAAGAAAGATAACTTGTGTGTGAGTATATTATGGAAAAAATAAAATTGGGCGAGCCAGGTAGCGAGCATGGGAGAAATGAGGGAAAGTACTGAAATGAACATGTCATATTATCTGGGCGAACTCACCCCAGCGTATATAATTCAGAAAAGAAATCCATCCAAGGCGACCCAACCTGCTAGGTTGACTGCATTGATTATCCGACTAGGGAACTTTTTTGTACAAATGTTGAAATAAGGAAGAAAGGTAGATTGCTGTGTGCGAAGAAAGTAACAAAAAATCCTAGGATTCTATCGCTATCTATTTCGGGGAAGATTATCTATATTACTTGCCTCCTCTCCTTAAGTCTACACATTGATCTGAGGATTGAAATGAGATTCTATTGTGCACTGCTCACTCAAGAATGGGTATTCTGTACACCAGGAGGGATATTTTATCCAATGAATGTTTCAGAATTGCCTTTTTTGAATTTATACATGTATGGTGACTTTAGTCGTGGGGTTCAGATATCCCGGGTGACGTATTTTTTTATTCAGACATGGAAATAAGACTATCAAATATCACTACGAACCTGTCATCGTATGTAATTTAAGGAGATGAAATACCATGAATCTGAACAAACTAAATTTAGTCCATATGATAAAACATGTACCATAATGTGGAAGCAAAAGTTTTGTAAGTTTAAATATTCACTGCATTATAAATCATATTTAATCATATGAAGCAAAAGGATTTTCCCAAATTAATTTTGCAGGTGATGACCTCATGCAGATATGCAAATTAAAATATAATATAATTTTCACTTTTGTGTGTACATGTAACTCAAATCGCATTCGTGGAAAAGTAACCTGTATTGCTAACTAAAATCATTTTCGAAATAAGAACATTTTTGTAGCAGCAAAGGAAACAAAAACGAGCGTACATTTATGAAATAAAAATGTATAAGATTCGTGATTTCGATAACAAAGACAACCCGCAGATATGTATGGTGCGCATTTAAAAATGAACTGCAGTCCTCTTGTCACTACTGCACCGAACGCATGCAGGAGCCACTGCTGTAAATACTTTAATTTCGAAAGTGGCAAAGAGACATGTGGGGGAATAAAATACATAAAGAAGAAAGTCGACATCGACCCATGGCAAAGAGGGTTCCTCCCAACCTGATGATGGCACAGACACTGCCTTGCCACTTACACTTTCGCCTTTATTCCATGCACTTAGGCACTTCACCTCCTTTCATCTAATTCAGCTTTTGTCCCATGAGAGCATTCCCATTAAATAAAGGACACATTGCGGAACTCTACATCTTGATTACACGTGAAATTCTTATAAAGCATAATAAGCAAATGGAAGCCAGGCTCGTATTACCTGTCAAATCGAAGATTGTGCTTTCACCAGCCATTATCAGCCTCGTAATTGTACATTTACCGCAAAATTCTCCTCATTCTTTTGACAATGGGGTTTAAAGGAGTAGTTGCAAATTTAAAATACTCTTCTCCAACAAATTGGCAGCACACGCTTACTAATTTATTGGATACAACTGCCACTCCAATTAATGGTTTATAAATAAATAAATAAAATTCTCTTATTTCTAAAGAGAATTTAAGCTAAGAGGAAGTTTGTTTACATAAAACCCGCCATTGTTCCGTAAGGAAGAGGGCTGGAGGAAGGAGGCGAAGAAGAATGAGATCGCATCCGAAAAGCAATTTTTATCCTGATGGATTCAAATGTCACAGACCAGGCCCGTCTTGGAGTCCGAGCACAAACAAGGCCATCCCCAAGAGGTTATAAAATAGAAGGGAGCGAGACGGTAAAAGTCAAGTCGAAAGACGAGATGGTTTCGTTGCTGATACTGGTTGAGTGACGCGTCAGTTGCTTTGCGGTACCTATCGCTTCAGTCTCTTTGTCGTCTCCTGCGGAGGTGGTGGAAAGCCTGCCCGCCTGGCGTGGCATCCTATCATCTCAACTCGGAGAAACTGAAACTAGAAACGGGAAAAGAGTTGCTCTATCCCATCATCGTCAATCGGAACGGGACATTGAGCAGCCGAGATCTTTGTTGGTAGAATATTGATGACTAGGAGCACTAGGAGTGCGAATTTCGGTCATGCATGTCGATCCCTATTACAATTTTCCTGCATTCTCTAGGCCAGCTGGGTTAAAATATAATCTGATATAGACAGCTCCATGTTTCACGCCACATACATTTCCCAAAATCAACTGCCCTCCTCCATCACGCTACGTTCTTGGAACTGGTGAGAAAACCGAGTCTACAGGCATCCCGAGTTATGTAACGATGATCGTAACCACTGCCATACTTTCGATGGTCTAACTATTTTCAAAATACCTTCCACTTCACCGACTGCGGTTGTGCAATCTTTACCTATGTCAACAACGACTTAGCATCTAGATTACACATATACCTACGTTTAACGATACATTTAACAACACCAAGACATAAAGTTGTGCTGGTGCAAGGTGCAAGTACATATTTTTTATTATATAAAGAGTAAGCTACCAATTCGAACATTGTTCATAGCGCCTTCAAACTTGTGGAGAGAAGGGAATATCGGGGTCAACAAAGGATGCGCAATTTACCAAATCCCTTTCCGACCATTGCTTTTATTACGATATCGTTTTCATTTTTTCCACACGAGTCGAATGAAAATGCTATAATTTCAACGACGAAGAATCGGCTGCGAAATTGTCTGATTCATAATTTTAGTGGGAAAATGACTTAGGCAACATGATGCAAATCACGATTTTCACATGACAGCGTCATTTTGAAGATTTCTTACAACGATGAGCAACGCTTGCATGGAGCCGCTGCAACTTTTCCAATAATGGAAAGTTTCAGGATCAATTTTATTGACCCACAAACAGAGGAAGGCTTCTGTTGGTTCTACGCCTCCTAATCCATTTCTTGGAACCAGTAGGACGTTCAGAGATGAAAGTAGGCCCCGGCAAGAACAAAGACTTTCCTTGCTTGTGCTTCCTTCAACTTCCAGATAACATAAAAATGATGGATGGTAAAAAAGTGAGCCCAGTTTGGTGCTTTCGTTGGGTGCTTTCGTGGTCCATTTCATAGTATATTTACATGCAACATAAAACTGAGGATTTATCTTTGATGGGTGATTTTCCAATATCGTAACATCATTTATTTGCATACATGCGTGGAACTACTTAAATAGAAATGCAAACTTTTTGCATGTTGTGCATGTGGAACTTAAATAACACATCTTCAACCATTATTGGAAATTTGATGCAGGAGTCTTGCACTTAAACTAGTACAGCATTAGAGTTGTAATCTTGTGAATATGGAAAACCAAGACATTTAAGTTTCAAATCTACAGCAGCAAATTTTGACGAGATTAAATCAAAAACGTCGGAAGTATCACGAGCCTATCAAAAAATATTAACGATTCAAAACTCCATCCATATTTACTTGGCTATGCAGACTTGATGCAGACTCACGAGGAAAGATTCTCTGGATTTATTATCTTCTACAAATAAAAAAACTTGGTAATCCAGCCGGCTTTGTACTTGGTAATAAAAAATCCTTTAAAGCATCACCTGGCTATCCATAGTAAACAAAATACGGCTACAAATTCCGTTTTGTAGACCGTGGTGCATCAAAATATCTTATTTCGGATTACATCGTTATTTTCTTGCATAGCCAGCTCGGGAAGAAAAATAGAATGATGCGAAGTCATAATAAGGAGTGCATGCTGACAGTGTGGTGACTCCAACTGAAATTAAGGCAACTCATATTCACGATTTTTTAAATGGAAGAGCTTCACATGATACTTGAATTCATCCGTGAACGAAATATTGCGAAGTACTTAAAATCAATTCACTCCAGACTATGCCTTCTTCTAGAATGACTTGTTAATTTAGCTAGAAAAAAAAATATTCTAGAAAACTCTCAGAAGAAAGATTTGTTTCTTGATTTTCCAGGGTTGAACAAAAACCCGATTGACTGACAGAACTCAACAGCTCAACATACATACCAATGTTGTTTGTGCTACAGTATTGAACCACTTTTTTGTTGCTAAAAAAACATCCAGTGGGAGGAAGACTTAGCAGGAAGGAGAAAGTCCAGATTTCCCGATGGACCATGAAGAGTGCGAAAATAAATCTCAATTATACTCCCCTACTTCTAATCCTTCTTTTGCGCACAGCATCCTGCCCAATTTATTCATCTGTTTGTTTCTACTGAGACCTTAATTTCGAAAACTTGTTTTCGATGCAATTTATTATTAGCTTTTCTTTTTCTATTAGTGATGCCCAAAACTCACCGTGTGATTGATATGGGATTCTTAAAGTCATGTACATAAATATTTCAGTTTAACTATTTGACCCTGTTGTTCAGCTATGTAATTAGTGCATGAAAACTTTGTTAACATTAACATAAAAACATCTGTTAATTATAAAGGACGACTTTAAATCATAAAATCAACTATTAATCGAAATGCATTTAGTAATTACTACATAATTGAATGATATCATCACCATATATTTTACAATGTCATGTTGGAGAGCTTAATCTAATTTAACGTTAACAAGAAATGAACGAATACAATTTGGAATCCTTCCTTATAAGTAAGTTTATGCATATTATTCAATGTGCACGTTATCAATAGTTGCATCCAATCCATTTGTTTCAAAGCTGATAAATTCGAGAAGGGAGTAAGTTGTAGCGGATGAGGAAGCGCATTGGGTGCACGTAGCAATCAAAATAAATTGAGAACTTACCCTCTCTTTCGGTGGCAAAAGTGGACATGATGATAAAATGGATGAGAAAGGCTATTCCCAACAGAGTCATTGTCTTGGATAGGATTTGTGTCATTTTCCTCGGTTGTGGGCTGTCGTTGCAACCAGAAATATTACAATTATTTATCAAAGATGATTTACTGCCGTCGCAGGAAGGAGTATTCGTGGAGTTGCTGTTACAGGAAAAGAACAATCGAGGGCAGGAAATCGACTGTTGTTCTGAGACGAGACAATTAATTGGATTCACTTTCCTTACGACACATTGCAGGATGGGCAGTAAAGAGAAAAATGCCTTAAATACATTCCAAATCCAGAGCTTGACTGAAATTACAGAGGAGGTGGATTCAGACAAATTGCTGTTTCTAGTGTGGCTGGTATTATTATATCCACGGGAATTCCACCGATACATTTATCTTTCACAAATCGAAACTTAAGGAATGGGAGCAGTGGCAGCAGCAGGAGTTAAATAAACCGACACCAAAAAACACTTCCATTATTCGGTATATATGTATTTATTTATCCGTGTCCTGAACTTGGCTTAATTCCCTTGCAGAACAATTCTTCAAACTGCGCCTACTCTGCCCTTCCTTCGTTGTATGCAAGGTCGATGAAGCGATATCAAGGGACGAATAGCACTAATTTGTTCGCCGTATAATAATGTACGCCTTCAGAAAGGTGCAATTCCCGAGATAGTGCTCATTAAACGACAGTCACTGTACAGTCACGAAATGTTGATTGCACGCCCCAACGAATTCAATAATCACTTGTTCTGTCCATCACTGCTCGAGTCTCGTGCCTATTAATACGTCAGGAATGTGTTCATCTTGTCGCCAATTTCTTCTTGGAGCGAGAGTACCATGTATTTGGTGAATACGTTAAAGAATCCTGTATTCCTCACACGTTTCATCAAATTCGCACCCAACCAAATATCTGATGAAGTGCAAGTTGATGCGTGGAGAAATCTAAATTATAGATTTCACGGATAGCACAAGTCAGTCAGCCAACAGTTACTCCTCAGTTGAGAAATTCCCTTGGCTGAATTCATGAATAGAAAATCAGATCGGGTGAGATTTATTCACTTTTACTTTGTAGAAATAAAACTTTTTACAGTCCATAGTGTTTATCCCCAAGTCTTCTTTCACTGGCACGTCGCTGGCTTTATTTCTTCGTTTGGCAGAACTGCACGGATCTGTGGAGAGACAAACAAATTTTATATTGCAGCTGTATCATCAACACATTTATAAGTAACTTGTATACAAACCTCTATGTTGAACAAGAAAAATATTGTTTTGGATTCAATAGGATTAAGCAGCTGCCTTTCTCTCATAATTATAGACCTATTTACGTATAACTTACGCATATACGTTACACCAAGTTTCTAAACATATGATAAACGAAGAAGAAGGTCTTTCATTAAAACGAGATCTGAATGCATGCGTATGCTTTTTTTTTTACTTAATCCAGACCAAATCTTCATGAGTTCTAAGAAATCTGCTCATTTATACATTCATAGTTGTAACTGCTCGTAGTCGTAAGTTTAATGACTACTCTTTCAAGTTATCCGTTTAAGAGTACGTACAATTTTTCAATTTGAGGCTCGTTTCTTTCACTAAAACTATGTGAATATTGCAATTAAAAAGTTATGATGTTGGATTTCTGAACTTTGCGAGCATTACGATAAGAAAGAAACGCGCAACATATTTAAGAAATGGTGGTATGCACTCTGACTTTGAACAGTACATATGTATGCATGTACATTATTATACTGCATGCATACATGTATGGGGCATGTCACGTTCTCATCGATCCCTCCACATACTAGAGAAACGACATTTAAATTGTATGAGATGTTCTACTTCTATTTGCCCTGTTTTCTGTCGCAATTTGGGATAAGTGCTATGCAGACAAGAATCAAGAGTGAATGAATAGAAAGGTTTGAATTTTAATGAACGCGAGCTTTGTTTTGTCGGCAAGATGTACAAAGGACTCGTCATCATCTGGCGTTGATGTGCATTAGATAAATTTCAGCTAAGGATGTACATACTATGCATATGCACAAGTATCAGTTAAATATGATATGTAAATACACATCAGACATAAATTAAGAATTTTGTAGCATGGATCTTCCGTGTGGCAGTGATTTAAGTAAATGTAAAATGTGTATCCATCCTTAGGTCATTATTGTGCCTAATAAAAGTGGTCTTAATTTAAATTATGAATAGAGTTTTATTTATCCTAAGTTTTTCATTAAGTTCAGTATAAAGGTATAGAATTCTTTGGTACAATAGGATGCTAGCTTTCTTGTAGGCATGACACAGTTGTTTATAAAGTATTCACATTGCCTGACTCTTTATTATACAAATGTACATACATACGTGTGCACATGTATGAAAGATTTCCAGAAATAGTATAACTACAATTTCTAGTTATTATGCAGCATATTCAGTTGTGTACCAGATGGCACAGCTCAGTTGCTCTTTTCATACGAATTAGAATAAGGTTGCAGCAGTGTAAGGAAAACGAAAATCGGAAATGTGTGCTAGTGCATATGGAATGCGAGATTTTCTGCTGTATTGAATGCTCACAGAGTTCATGAAACAAGAACTTTTTTGGGATTTGACTTGTTCTGATCTATTCTTTCCTTTAGCAGGCTCAGAAGAGAAACTGGGAAATAACAGATTTCTATATTGCGATAAATCCAAAATCCCTAACACAAGTTTATTTTTCACTTTCCTTTCGAGCTTTCTCCAGCGAGATTATTGGTGTGAGAAATGATACCAAGTAAGGCAGAGGCAGGAAGTAGCGAGAGCAGCTCTGCCATGTGTATTATTATGTCTCGGACTAGTCGGAGGGATTGGTTGCTCACTGACGGCGTGCTCATGCTTTCACTTTGTCCAGTTGGAATATGGGGAGAATTGGAGCTTTATATCACAAAAGATTTCTGCGTTCGCCTGCTGGTTCAACATGGCACTGGCACAGAGTGAAATGGATTTCCTATTTTCTGTTGCTATTATTTCGCTGAAATGAACGTTTGGTTCAAGGAGGTTTGACTGGAAATCCGAAAATACGAGTGGACCAGGACCCGTGCCGTTACTTTGAGTGGAGAAGGAATAAAAGGTGGTGCAACTATTCGAAAAGATATTCGATCTTTTGTTCTCCCTCTGGCTTGGACACTCGGGGTGTAGTACATATTACTCTTTTTACTCCTTTGAAGGTTTCAAGAAGCCAAATTGAAGACGGGGAGAAGAAATTCAATCTAATATCCTTCACTGTTTCTTAATCATCCCAACCACATCCAGAGCCAATTGTATCTTTCCTAAATTGCATTCCTAACATGACTTTCACTCTCCACTCCTTATGTCGAACGACGCATCACTCCATTTAACAAGAGGAAATGAAACCTGAACCAGCCCTGTGTGTACTCCTGAACCTCGAATATATAGCAGATAAAGCCGCATGGTCAACCATTGACACCCGAAAATGCGGAAAAAGGAAATAAATGTGGTTACCTTACTTTTACAGCTTGCAAAAGAAATAAGCAAGATCCATTTTGTTATGTTACAAGAATCTTCGCTTTTCGCACCAAAATTGATTCAGTTCAAACTTTTATACTCCGTTTCAAATAGATTCGAAGTACTTTATGACCGCGTCTAGCCCAGAATTGTAAGTATGTCAAGTAAAAATCCTTCTGGATGCTTATCTCATGTTTGCACTCCATATTTTATTTCGAGCTAAGTTTCCATTTAAGATTTTCAATTTCAAGCAAATATAATGATAACTCTGACACACATTGATACGGTTTATAAATATTTGTGTTGATTATTGGATATCGAGTGTGAATATCAAATAATTTCATTTTTGGACAAATATTTACTCCAATCAATACTTCACCAAGTGGATGTTTTTTTTGGCATTTCACCTTTCATTTCAAAATTGTAAATAAGTGGAGTAACGATCTGCGTGAGTAAATTAAATGTTGAACTTTTGGTTCAGCAGGACAGGGCTTATTCTATCCTTTTTGGGGGCTTGGATCTTGAGAGGATGAGAGATTTGGTTCAACCAACAATATGCGCTCTCAGCAAATCGAAGATTGAATTTCGATCCAAGAAATTTATTAAAGGATTTATATAAGCTATAAACGAAATTATATTACTACACATTTATCAGCTAAACCTGTTTGTATATGTCCAATTTGTTTATCTTCCAACAACATGCATTAATTGTAGTAAAATAGCATTAAATTTATGGTTTCGAGCTATAAATAGGTTCTACGCATGTGCTTAATTTTTCACATACGTTTTTTGCACAATGAGACCTGGAGGAGTCAAAATATGAAAACTACTTAATCTCTACTCTACATTGCTACCTTTCCATCCGTACGTAAATACATAGACAAAGTGAAATAGAAATAAAATAACAAATGTCTACCACTGAGGCAACATTGATATTTCATTGATTTTTCACACGACACGACAGTATTAGCACCCATCAAGTCACAGCTTCCAGCTTACTTTACTTTCACCACAGCAAACATAGAATTATGAGAATTGGATTAGAAATGAGACAAAATTACAGCCTTCGCTACCAGGTGTATAGCACGACAAGGAATATCGCTAACGGATGTCGGAGGCACGATGTTGTTGGATAGTACAAAGTTTATTAGCTCACATCCAGCGACAGCCCTCCTCCTTGCCATGTCCTTTCTACTTCTTCTTCTTGCAACTATCACGACAATCCCGTGTGTTACAGCGAGAATAAAGTAGGAGTTCTAATGCAAGTCTCAGGTCTAACCCAGTTTGGTTATGGTTTACTGAACCTTAGCTGCAGAACCTCGAGCAGGGCTGTTGGCCATTACTGAGGAGTTGGAGAAGCAATTTCGAACCTGAACCATTTATTTACTTTCAACACTACTTGATCATCACCAGCCCAGAATTGAATGGTGCTGAACCCTGAACCTCAGAAAGTAACCCAATAAGAGCTTGATTTTCCCTCGCCTGCTCCGTGTAATTACTTTGCACAAATTTTCTGAATTAACACAACAGCGATGGCATACACATAATGATCATTATGCTGTCGCAGAATCGTCGTTGCCTGATATCGTAAATTCTTTAATGCGTTCGGGGTGTTTTATGCTCCAGTGATTGTTTTGATGGCTGGAAAGGAGCATTTTGTCGTATTTACCAAAGTACTTTCTTTGCATAGTCAATGTTTTGCATAGCACCACCGTCTGTGTCAACATCAGGATTCCAATTTGAGACTAAATACTAGAAACGCCTTGACTTGCATAACTTTCTTCAATTATCCACCAGAATTTTCAATAACAAAATACGTAAAGGTTCTGATTGTAACCCATGATGTTACTCACAGCGTCACAAATTTGCGCTTTCCTGCATACATACATATGTACACACACGCGTATGTATGTAGGAATGCGTGTACAAGATTAGAAATCGAATTTGAAGCTCTTAATTTCACTAGTGAGTGGGAAGAGGCCATGTACCTTAAATAGCCCGAACTAGTGTGCCTCAAACATTAGAAAAATCACATCGGCGTGTGACCGTTAATATCGAGATGCTCACGTAACTGGGGTTCATTCGCTAAAAAATTATAAACCTTTAGATGTCAGCACACAAAATTCGACTGACTTTAACATGTATGGCGTGGCTTAAAAAAATTGTGTAACAGATGAACAGGCAGACAGATGCACAGAGAGGTTCGTAAGTCCTAGATCGGGCGAAAAATGTATTGGTCCCTTGAATAAAATATTGCCCTCTGTTCATGCTTCATATTTTTCTTGTGGCGAAAAAGTTCAAGTTTGGCAGTAGACTTTTTAAGCTAAAGTTGAAGAAAGTTTTTCAATTCAATTCACCCGTGAACTGTCAATCGATGAAAGTTTTCTATATTTTTCACACAAGTCAAACCGAATTTTTCATCCTCGCTGCGTAGAAATATACAAAAAAATAGGAATAAACTTGGGGTGAAGTGTGTTTGAAAATAAGAAAAACGACCTGCAACTTTTGTGCGAAGCAAAATTGGACCTCATTTAATTTCGGTTCAGTTTGTAGACTCAACAATCTATGCTAACCAAGCGAACCAAAATACCAATAGCACAAGGCTATCAGCTTTTCCGTACTATTTAACCAGGTTCATTTTCTTCCAGTTCCGTAAACTTTATTGCAAAATGGTTTC